GGATCCCAGGTTAGGAAGCCCTGCGCTGGGACTAGCGCCAGACAACCACCGAGTTGCGCGCGTTGGCATCCTAGAGAGGAAGCACGTGCGGCGTGGGCGACGCGCTCGGTGTGACGCACTTCCGGTCACGCCGGCCTCTGCCCCTTTCCCGAGGTGAGTGTTGGGGTTTGTCACCTGGGAGTCCCTGCTGGGAGCGCTCCTTTCACCCTCAGACGAGGCAGTTGCCTTTGCCCTTGCTGCCGGGGCGGAAGGAGTCGGAGGCGGCCTGTGAGCCAGGACCGCTCGCCCCCGGGTGCCCTTGCTCGCTCGGCCGCTTTGGGGAACGAAGGCTGTGAATGGAAGGGAGACGTGCTGCGTGCCCGGCACAGCCACCGAGTGCCTCTGCGCTATTGCGCGACCTAATTAGTGAGCACCTAGTTGCCCTGTAGCTGTTCTAGGTTCCCGGGATGCAGCTGTGAGTGAGATGGGGTGTGGGTCCCGGCCTCAGAGAGCTTTCAGTTTAGTGGAACAGTTACATATTAATCACATCTGATCACCTCACCCCATCTGGTCCTAACATCGTAGCTGCAGCCGGTTGCTTTTAGGTCGAAGACCAAGTCCTCAACGTGCGCAAAGCCTGTGTGGCTTGGTCTCTTGCAGCTCCTTCCCCTCCTGTTGCAGCAGCAGCAGTCCCGTCCCCCCCCCCCCCCCCCCCCATTGCAGCACACCCTGGCTCAGCTGCAGACTTAAACTTCTAGAACGAGTTTTTGCACTTGTTTTCACTCTTGTAAAGATTTTCCTTTTAAACAAGCTAATTCCTGCTCAGGCTTATACAATAATTAGAATCGATTCTTCCAGGCTCTAGTCACAATTGAGAAGTTAAAGTTATTTATGACCTTCTTGGATTAATATGTGTGTGTCCTTTAGCCTGCCCTATACCAAGCCCAGTGACGAAAGGGATCACACCTTTTTTCTCTCTCCACTGTATCTCACACTTGGGCTGGAATGTATACAATAGATGCTTGTTGAATGAAGAAAGCACCCATCAATGTGTCATCTCAAACATGGGAGACATAGTACACAGGGAAGGGAATACAGTACTAGTGGAGTGTGTACCGTGGAGACCTGGCCTGGCCTGTAGAGGATGACCTGAAGGATGAGTGGGCATTACCTAGCTGAAGAGAGGGTCAGGCTGTTGGAGAGTATTGCAGGTGGACAGAATCAGTTACAAAGGCTCTGAGGTTGCAGAAGAATGTACATCGGCCCCGATTAGCATAGCAGAAGAAACTGGAAGAAGGCTAGAATGGCTAAACTAAGAATAAGGGTGGCACAGATAAGCTGAGCAGGAAATTATACCTTGCAATGAGTTTCCTTAGGGAAGGTGCTGGCTTTTTGGTAGAATATGACTACTTAACAAGAATACAAAATGTTCATAGGGGATATAATGAAAGTAACAACCATTACATTCTGGCATGTTGAGTTGGCCCCTCAGGGTCCTTTGAATGGGACATGAACAAAAAAGATGCCTGCCTCAAGATCCAAGAAAAGGAAGACCTACTCAGACTCTTACTCTGCATTTCTTGACTACTCATTCTTTAAATTTACCTTAGAATCACTTTATCAAGTTCTAAGAGAAAAGCCTGTTGGGATTAGATTGGAAGCAACTGAATGTAGTTATTAAAAAACATGACTTTTGGAATTGGCAGATCTGAGTTTTGCCACCAGATCATCCATCCACTAACTGAGTGACCTTGGAGAGAAAATTATTCACTTAGCCTTGTTTTCTCATTGGGGAAAAGGAAAAGGTTCAGAAGATTATTGTGGGTATTGAATGAAGGTACCTATACTTCATCCCAAAAGCATGGTATTTGTTTCTGTTTTCTTTAACCTTTTTTGTTTCCCAGTAAAATATTTTTTAAAAATGAAGATTTGAGTTCTCTCTTGTTAGGTGTTGCTACTGGTGTTTTTGCTCTGAGTGTACTCAAGTTCCCCCTGTATTGATGTCCTACCTAGGACAGAGCATTGCCTGATGTTGGGGAGTACAGGCTTTGATGCCCAAGGACATCGAAATATTTATATACCACTCACCCAGTGGGCATTTAGTAAATGATTGCTGCTGCTGTTGGCAGGTTTGTTGGTGTTAAGGAGAGCCTTTGACTGGGTAAGGCTTACTCTGGTTCTCTTTGCTTCTTCCTTCAGCCCCGCCCCTTGACTGAGAAGGAGCCCAGGTGATGGCAGCCATGCTCCTGAAAGCCTGGTACCAGGTGAGCTGTTAATTCCTCAGGTCAACCTTTGAGAAACCCGACTTGAAGGAAATGATGGGAGGGATGATTCTGGCAAAATTCTCGGAGCCAAAGCAATAGGAAGATTAACAGGGGTTAATGCTCTCCAACTGGACGCCGGGGGGAAAGCCAATGACGGTGAGGGGCTGAGCAGCTAGGAGCCCACCAAGCAATGGCTGGAGAGAGTGTCCTGGGAAGTGGAACTAGCCTCTTCCATACTGGAGGGTCTCCAGGTTTAGAGGGATCTGTAAGAATGAGGGACAGGCTAGTGGTGTAGGTGTCTGGTTGCAAGGTTCTTGGGAAGTGGAAACAGAAGGGTGACAGGAAGAAGGCAAGAATGAAGGAGCTTATATCATTTATCCTAAAGAGAGGAGTTTGGGCTTCAGAATCAAGGGAAGTATATCTTCCTTGAGGTTGGTGCTGCTGGCTGAGGCAAGGCTGTGGGCTCTGATAGGAAAACTGCACTAGCACAGGGCACCATCAGGAATCCCATCAGGTCTCAGTGGCCTTGACCAGCCACTTAACCTCTTTGCATCCTGATTTCATTTGTAAAGTGAACATTCAGGACCTTACATTTGTGGGACAAGGAAATTTTTGTTTTGACTTGTATTTCACTCTTTGAGACTGATGAGTTGCTGGTATTGCTTTATTTACTATGTCTTCCTAGGGACTTATTTACCCAATAACTTAGCATGAGCCATATTCCAAATGCCAATCCTGGATTTCTGACATCTGGCAGGTGCCTCTGCTGACTGTTTCACTGATATACATGTCTTCTTTGTAGCTCATCCCGCTTCTGATCTTCCGTAAGTATTGGGTCACTGGTATCACCATCTCGAAGTCCTGACCACTCAGTTTTAGATTGCTGCATGCTTATTGACACTTCTTCCTGGGTACCACTTCCAGAGAGTCAGCAAGTCCGATTGCTTCTGCCTACTACCTCTCCCACTTGTCCCGTATTTCATATTGCCTTCCTTCAAGGTTGGTTCTTCTCTGGAATTTTGTTTGCAGACCTTCCCAGCTAGTGTCTCTGTGTACAGTCTTGTGCCTTTCCCTCACTGTCCACTGGTCACCTGGTACATCTTACTTCCTGAGCGTGGGCTTTATCTTCTAGTCCGGGTTCCTCAGATTTTAGTGTGCATCACAGTCAGCTGGAGGCTCATTGATGGAACATTTGCTCTTGATTGAGGCCTGCCAGCGTGCCTTTCCAATAAGTAAGTTATCCAGTGCTGCTGCCCTGGGGCCCACACTTTGAGAACCACTATTGTAGTTAGTGGTGACTTATTAAATCATTCAGTTGAGTGGGTCAGGCTGTCATTTAAAATAGATCATTGTATGTGCCGGCAGAGGATGGATTCAGTGTGGGACACATGGAATTGGAGCTGTTTAAGGTCCCCATCTGTTGAGTTGGTGTACGGATTGTACAATAGCGAAGAGTCGGTTCCAGAAATATTTTGGCAATAAAATTGGCAGGATTTGATTACCAACTGTTAGAAGTGAGCAGGGACAGAGGCAAGTTAGTCTAGGATGAATCTTAAGTTTCTGGTGTAGGAAACGTGCTGAAATTGCTACTGCCAACTGAGATGGGGGAAGAATTGTCACCGTGTGAATTAGTTTATGTGAGTTAGAGAGGGAACCAGTTTAGGGGGCCGGATGATTAGTGTTAGCTGGTGGGTCAGACATGTTGGGTCAGCAGAGAGTGTGAGGCATGGGGATTAGTGGAAGGGGCAGATCTGCAGAATCAGTCAAGGTGTTCGAAAGTGGGAGGATATTCATCACATGTTCAGGTAACCACATCTGATACTGAAGTCCAAGGTGTGAATAGAGGGCCTAACCAGATGCTGGAGTTTCTGGGAAGGTAGACTTGGGGCCATCTGGAAGGGGCAAGGATGGCTGTTGAAAAACCCCTGAGGCTTGGTTGGCAAGAGCTCTTACAGATTGTGCTGGGTCTATAAAGGTATAAGGCTAAAAGGGCTACCAGCAGCAATTCCATTCCAGAAGCGTATTCTCCTAGGAAGACACATCAGGAAGCAGAATGCTAGGCTGTCAGGCAGCACGGCTCCCTCTGCTGGATGATCTTGAGCACAGATAGCACAGCAGTCTTCAAACGACAAATGGGGGTTGGATGCAAAGGGCTCATCTTGGCAAACCATGACTGTTCTTGTTGTGTGGGCTTGAGGTTTGGGGCAGAGTGAGCACTAGGGCAGTGAAGGGGGAGCAGGTAGTCCTGAGATACCACCTGGGAGTGAGTGTCCGGACATTCTGAAGCTAATTGCCCACTTGTAGGTGTAACAGTGAAGGACTGACAGTATCTACAAAGTCAGAGAGATTTTGCTCTGAGAAGGTGAATAATGGGAGACTCTACAGGCTTTTTGAAATGTTTTATCATGTTTTATAACAGTGTTCCAAAGGAAGCTCTTCTGATAGAGAAGTTCCAGGTTGTTGGTTGTAGAAATAGTCATTTAATGGCTTAACACCTGTTCTTTCACCTTTTCTAATTAGCCATCTCTTATAGGACTCCTCCCTCAAACTGTCCCGTGTCCCACACTCTGGCTCTGAGTCAGAGGATTGGTTCTGGGACAGCGGGAACCTCTTGTTTCAGGAGGTGGTGACCTTTGAGGATGTGGCTGTGCACTTTACCCAAGCAGAATGGGCTGGCCTCTCTTCCGCACAGAGGGCCCTGTACAGAAGTGTGATGCTGGAGAATTACAGGAACTTGGCATCCCTGGGTAAGGCTACTTTCCTCCTGGGACTCAGATCTATGCTTTCCTGCTTCCTTCTTTTTTCCTTATGGGCTGGGGGTATGGTGTGGAGAAGGAGGGAGGGGTTGTTGCTGGTATCCTTACTGCATGGTTCGACCACTGAGCCACACCGGCTGGGCAGTTTTCCTTCTTTTGATATAGCATTTTATCCCCCTTTTCAGGATACACAGTTCCCAAATCTGCCCTCATCTCACTTTTGGAGGCACAGGATGACCCACCTGCAGAGAGGAGCACATACGTCTGTAAAGGTAAAGGAGGCAAGTTTAAAATGGGCAACTGGTGGGCTTTACAGAGCAGTATATTTTAAAATTCACCATGCTGGTGAGCATTGAAATAGATGATTTTCCTAACAGGTAAAATATGAAACCATTCCCACCAATTTTAATTCTTATCAAGATAACTATTTCCTCTTCATGCATCTCGCTCTGGTTCCCGTCTGAATTTCAGGATTGTCTGCTTCGATGGCCCTTCTTCTTTGTACAGGACAGATTTACTTAGGAGCAGTTTTTCCGCCCTTGAGTGTGCCAAGTTTTGTTTAATCCTCTAGAGCAGTAGTCGCCAACCTTTCTGACTTCATGGATGGTGACTGCTGCTCCAAAGGTTTCCTTAAATCAGTGGTTGCCAACCTTTTGGACCTAACGGACCACTGGTTGGCAACTGCTGCTCTAGAGGACACAAGTTGTGGAGATGGATGTAAAAGCTTTTTAAAAATGTGTAGATAGGCAGTGGGAGCTCAGCAGGAAACTTGGCGGAATTACCATTTAGAAGCTCAAGTAACGCGTCTTCAGAGGTAGTGCCATTTGTTCTGAATTTGACTGTTTACAGTGGATATCATGTGAAGAAAAAGAAGGTAGACTGGCCCGAGGAAGGGAGAAAAGGATCCAGTAAATCATTGTGAAGAACTTTGCAGCATAATGTGCAGGAGAATCAGCTGGGAGCATAATTTAAAAGGGTATTTTTTTTCTGGAGCCCACCTACAAGTATTTCTCTGTCTTTTCTAGTAAGTAGTGCAAAAGGACTCAGAACCTAAGCAAGACTTCCTAGAATCTGGGGCTGGCACAGAGTCTGCAGTGCATCCTGGCCCCCCCTTTCCTCTGCTGATGGGTTAGGTGAATGTATTTGGTCTGCTTACCTACCCAGCATTGTGTGGAATACCTAGAATGCAGACTTTGTGGTGGGCCTGAGGGCTCTGTCCTGAATTTACAGCACAGGAATAGGAAATGAGAGAGTAGGCAAAACAGAACATGGAGCAGTAGCAGTGACACTGAGTTTGGCCAGCCTCAATATCACTATTAATCTTTGAACCTGTAGCTCCTTTGGCATTTTGTAGACCCATAAGTACCTAAGGTTAAAAGATATTAGAACATTCTAGGGACAAGCCATCCAAATACAGAGTCTGGAAAAGCTTAGGAAGCAGTCTGTCATGTCGGGTGTATGTTGACACCCTGTTCTGCCTCGATAGTTCTCTGCCCGTGATTTTTGGCACTTTTATTGCTAAAAGACCGAGGTGGAAGTTGAAATAGTAATCTCTAAAAGCTCTATGATATTTAATGTTCTTTTGTTTCTGGTATAATTCTCAGGTGGCACTTGTGCTTTCTGTTTATGTCAGATACTGAAACCAACATTGGCAGTGAGTCCACGTCAGTACAGGGAATTTCTGGAAACAGAGCCGTGGTGGTGTCTTACGGTCTGCAGAAGAGTGCTCCTCAAAGAAGCAACTTCCTAGAAACATGTAAACTGGAGACGCACCAGGAAATCTCCACAAGGAAAAGTGGCAGAAGAAAGGTTCCCAGGATCCGCTGTGACGGGAAAGCCCTCCGGTGTGAGGAATGTGGGAAGTGTTTCAGCTATTTTTCTCACTATGTTAGACACCGGAGAATCCACACGGGGGAGAAGCCCTTTCAGTGTAACGAGTGTGGAAAAGCCTTCAATGGCAATTCCTCATTGATTCGGCATCAGAGGATCCACACTGGAGAGAAACCCTACCAGTGTGAGGCGTGTGGGAGAGCCTTCAATGATAACGCCAACCTGATGAGACATCAGAGAATCCACAGTGGGGACCGACCCTATCACTGCCAGGAGTGTGGGAAAGGCTTCACCAATAGTTCTGAGTTTGTTATACATCGGAGAATCCACACTGGAGAGAGACCTTACGCGTGTAGTGAGTGTGGAAAAGCTTTCGTTGGTAATTCACCACTACTTCGACATCAGAAAACTCACAGTGGAGAGAAACCCTACGAATGTAATGTATGTGGCAAAAGCTTCGGAAGGACTTACTATCTTATGCAGCATCAGCGTATTCACACAGGGGAGAAGCCTTACTCTTGTAAAATATGTGGGCAAGCCTTCAATTTGCATAAAAAACTAAGTCGACACCAGAGAATCCACAGCGATAAGAAACCCTTTGACTGTGTAGCTTGTGGAAAAGCCTTCAGTGCTCAGGAACAATTAAAAAGGCATCTGAAGACCCATATTCAGGAGTCTTCCTATGTATGTGATGTGTGTGGAAAAGTCTTCACTAGGAAAAGAAGTCTTCTTCAGCATCAAAGAATCCATACTGGAAAGACACCCTATGGGTGTGTCAAGTATGAAAAAGCCTTTAGGACTTCTTCCCAGCTAGGTGATCTTGAGCATGTCCATCCTGGAGAGAAACCTGAGCTGGACATTTGTCATTTTGGCCTCCCAGAGTTTTTTACCCCCTTTGACTGGTAGTATATTCACTTTTCTTTGGAACTCCATCTTCTACTCAAGAGTAGAATGTGTGACCCCGACCATGGTGGTTCTGTCAGTAGGAGACCCAAGATGGTCCAGTTAGAGTTCCATGATGTGGCCAGACTTAACAGGAAGAAATACTGTTCTTTTCCCTTAATCTTAAAGCTAAGAGGAATTCCTGGATTATTGTGGAAGCTGAGAATAGAGTCAACACAGCAGAAAAGAAATCAGAGTTGGAGATTAATCAGCCTTGACAGTTCCATTTGAACAACTACATTAAATTATATCTAAAGCTAGAAATACATCTGGGCTTTTAAATTCCAGTAACCAATACAGTTTTGTTTTTCTCAAGCAAGTTTGAGTTAGGTTTTCTTTCCTTGGAATGGTGCCTTATCAGTCTAACAAATACATATAAATGAGATGGGCAATATGCAAGTTTTCTGGGACAACGTCACAAATGCTCAGGAGGAGGCTGTGCACACAAGTGGGTGGGAGAGGACTGTATGGAAGATGAAGCAAGCCATGGATGCCGGGGCATCCTGAGCCAGCCCAGAGCGGAGCTGGGGGCCTGCCCACCAGGACCCGCCAGCAGTCCCACCTCTGTGTGTGAGCTACAGAGGAGACACATTTTCTGACTGCTCATTGGCTAAGCTCCCCGTATGCTACTCTCAGTGTTCTTGGTAACTTAGGCAATAAGAATGCATAAAAGTGAGCTAGTGTTTTTCCACCTCACTCCTGAAGGGAAAAATGCAGGTCCGCTGTTAGAGGGGCTAAGAAATGTCAAATCCTGCCCTAACTGGTTTGGATTAGTGGATAGAGCCTCAGCCTGTGGACTGCAGAGTCTGGGTTTGATTCTGATCAAGGGCATGCACCTAGGTTGCAGGTTCCTCCCTGACCGGGGCCCAGGTCAGAGCTCATTCAGGAGGCAACCAATCAAAGCGTTCATCTCACTTTGATGTTTCTCTATGTCTTTCCTTTTTCTCTTCCACATTCTCTGAAAATCAATGGAAACATATCCTCAGGTGAGGATAAAAAAAAAAAAAGAAGAAATGTCATATCTTATGAAAGACACATCTTGAAAATGCCAAAAGAAAGTTGTAATTTTTTCATAGTGAAGGGACTGAAGTCTGTGTTGAAAACACCTTGGCAGCTGCAGTGGCCAGCAGTGGCAGCAGCAGTGGGGTGATGGTGGTAGTGTCTTCCCCTGATCAGCCCAGTTGACACCTGCAGAGGGGGGCTAGACTGTGGCTTAGCGGGACTAAGCTGTCAGTAGGCTATCCCCTGACGGTTCCCAGACTGTGAGAGGGGGCAGGCTGGACTGAGGGACCACCCCCCAATACCACCAGTGTACAAATCTTGTGCACAGGGCCTCTAGTCCTATATAATAAAAGGCTAACATGAAAATCGACCAAATGGTAGAACAACCAACTGCTGTGATGCACACTTGACTACCAGGGGACAGATGCTTAGTGAAGGAACTGCCCCTGGTGGTCATTGTGCTCCCCTAGGGGGAATGCCATTCCCCAGAAGCGGGGCTCACGGCTGGCAAGTGCAGCGGCATTGGTGGGAGCCTCTCCCGCCTCCACGGCAGTTGGACATTCCCTGAAGGCTCCCAGACTTGGGAGAGGGTGCAGGCCGGGCTGAGGGACCCTCTGGAGTGCACAAATCTCATGCATCAGGCCACTAGATTTTAATAATTGTTATAATCTAATCTTCAGGAGAAATGTTTTGTGTGTATGATGTATGGGAAAGTCTTCAGTTATGGTCCCAGCAGCCCTGGTCATTGTAACAAGAATAGGAAACCCATTGGAACACATGAGGGCCTAGGTTGCATCAGGACAACACCAGTAGATTGAAGTTCTAACAGCTTAAGCTCTGTGACAAACATTTTAGTGAATTCAATCTCAAGAAACGCCTTACCTATGTAACCAAAAGCCATCACTAATACTTTCATTTTCTTGGTTTTTATTTGGAATGAATACTGTTCAAGGCACCAAACTGGTTAATGCCAGGCTGTTGTAGCTTTTCCAGCTGTGTGTGTGTCTAGAATTGCATGCCCACCCTTCCCTTTGATCTAGAGAGTTTGTTACTGGATAAGAAGGGAAGAACCGAGGTTGACAAGTGGTCTCTGCTTCTGCATGCCTTCTGTAGATCTTTTGTAACCTGGTGTGTACCTGTTTTAAGAATCGGGGCTATATGATTATTTAGGAGGTCTTATTTTCTTACCTATAAAATTAGGTGACTTTTTTGTGATCCACCATTTGAAATCAGC